GGCAGAAGGAGATAATTTACTACCATATGTATACACATATATGTATATACACACACACACACACAAACATGAACAAATAAATGTAAGTATATATACTATTAAAAATTTTAATGTTTAGTATAATATACTATATCTATATAAATCTACATAATCTGAGGCTGGAGAGGTGGTTTGGTGGTTAAGACCACTGACTGCTCTTCCAGAGGACCCAGGTTTGATTCCTAGTAACCACGTGGTGGCTCTCAACCATCTGTTAACTATACATGTGGTGCACCAACATATATGTAGGCTAAGCACATGTACACACAAATAATTTTTTTAAAAAGAAGAAAAAAAAACTATCTAGTCTAGTCCTAGAGTAGTCACTTTGGCCAGGAAAGGGTAAATAAAATGGACAAGAATGACAATGGCAGTGGGAATAGGAAGAGACACATTTATGAGATTTACAATGCTAAACTAACAAATCAAATGTGAGGGGTCAGAAGAGAAATCAGGGATGGATTCCTTACACAGATGGGTGGTAGAGCACTAACTTAGTATGCAATCCCTAGCAACATAAAACAAACAAACAAAACAGAGTGCCAGGTTTTGTTTTTGTTTGGGGGATGGAAGAAAGGTTGGACAGTTAAATCTGAGAAGCCTTTTAGACACCCAGGTAGAAGTCAAAGCAAGGATGGAGGCAGAGTTGGGAGCCATTAGAGTAACCACAACAGCCAATCATGTGAGTGAACGGTGTTGATGAAAGACAAGTCAAGCAGACTTGAAAAGGTCGGTTACAGAGCATCAATATTAAGAAGATAGGAAGGATATTTAAAAACTCCTAAAGTAGCAGCCTCAAAGGTTATGTGAAAGACTTGGGAGCTATGATTAACATTGAGCTGTATTTATATTACCCTTTTTGTTTATGTAAATTTTCTCCACCTTTTAGTGAATAGTTATTTTTTTATAAGAAAATGCTTAATTTTGAAAGGACTGGTCGGGCGGCGGTGGCGGCGGTGCAGGCCTTTAATCCCAGCACTCGGTAGGCAGAGGCAGGAGGATCCTTGTGAGCTTGAGACAAACCTAGTCTACAAGAGCCTCCAAAGCCACAGAGAAACCCTGTCTCGAAAAACCAAAAAAAAAAAAAAAAAAAAGGACTGATACATTTTTTTATTCCTTTACTTTCCCATGTATATACATAAAAGGGAAACAAAGCCAAATCATTTTCTGACCTCTCCCAAAGTCATTCATGATTCAACATAACTTAATTATTAGTGTCTATAACCAATGATTTTGTTTTCCAATCCATTTTGAAAGTGCCATCTTCAATGCTACTGCAAACCATCTGGAACTACTTAACTTTGCCACCCTGCTGTGATAGCTCTCTCCCTCTTGGGAAGCCTGTCCCAGCTGAAATGAATAACTGAGAAAACAACTGCTTTGAAATTGATAACACAAAATAAAATAAAAAGATTAAAAAGAAAACTTATAACACACAGCCTTAAAATGAGACCTCAGCATATTTGTTTCTCATGGATTAAAACGAATTGATCCTTGGTATTGTATTATATTGTTGCTGTACTGTACACAGTACTCATTTATAAACCTACACAAGTGGCCTCATACTCTCACATTCGAATCAAATGTAACATCATCTCTATTTTTTCAAGAAGTAAAGGGTCAGAAGATATGGCTCAGTGGTAGAATAGATACCTACCAAGAAAAAAAGGAAGCCAGGCATGGAGGCACACCTTGTAATCCCAGTACTTTGGGAGCTGGAGGCAGGATTTTTTTCCTCATAGGTGTGTGTATGGTGTGTTAGGAGGATGTTGGGAGTTGTTAACATTTTAAAATTATTGTTCTTTCAAAATGTTACATGTTGTTTTATATAGCAGAGTATATCTATGCACAATTTTCCATTTTGAAATTTAAAGGTAAAATTTTTATCCTAAATGTTACTCTAAAAAAAAACTTTTTAGAGCCCGGCATTGGTGGCGCACGCCTTTACTCCCAGCACTCGGGAGGCAGAGGCAGGTGGATCTTTGTGAGTTTGAGACCAGCCTGGACTACCAAGCGAGTTCCAGGACAACCTCCAAAGCCACAGAGAAACCCTGTCTCGAAAAACCAAAAAAAAAAAAAAACTTTTTAGCCAGGATGGTAGCCCACCCATTTAAGCCTAGTACTTAGGAGACAATGGCAGGTAGGTCTCTGTAAGTTCCAAGCCAGCCTGGCCTACAGAGTGAGCTGCATGGCAGTCAAGGCTACATAGTGAAAAAAACAAAAAAAAAATCTCCCCCTCAAAAGGATTTACTTTTATTTTATGAATGTGAGCTGAATGTATGTACAGCACATTCATGCTTTGTGCCCAGTGAGGATAGAAAAGGACACTGGGTTCTCTGGAACTGGAGTAACATGAGTGCTGGGAACTAAACCTCAATCTGCAAGAGCAGCAATTCCAACTTTTAAGACACTTTAAGTTGCCTAAACCTTCATTCTTTTCTTAGCTACGCATCTGTTTTTGTTGTTGCTGCTGTTTTTGAGGCAAGGTTTCTCTGAGTAACCCTGGCTGTCCTAGAACTCACTCTGTAGACCAGGCTGGCCTCAAACTCAGAGATCTGCCTGCCTCTGCTGTGATTAAAGGTGTGTACAACCACCCAGCTGAGAAAATGTGCGTTTTTAAGTCTTTATGAAGCGTTTGTAGTCAGAATTACTTCTAGGACAGGAGAGAAGACTAGGTGGTTATGAGCACTTACTGCCCTTTCAGAGGACTGGAGTTGGGTTCCCAACATCCACATGTAGGCAATTCACACCCACCTATAATTTCAGCTCCAGAGAATTCTAGACCTCTGACCTCCATAGGTACCTGCCTATGTACACACCCTACACAGGCACATTTTTAAAAAGAAGTATTTCTAAGTATTTAGAAATTCAGACATTTAAAAGACCAACACTCCAAGTATGTCAAGGTGTTTTGAGATTCAGTGATTATGCTGGAAAGTGTTGGAATCATTTGTACACGGCTTGTTTTTTTTCAAATCTGGACAGAGGCAGATAGATGTCTCACTTGTAAAATGAAGATCCTGAATACAAAAATGACCTAACACTAGAGTCAGCTGGTCCTGATTCTTGTGACTAAGTCTTAAGCTTTCTTAAAAGAATAAAAACTAAAAATGTCATTACACATTTTAAAACTTTTAACCCACTAAGAACCTTAAAGATACTTTACATAAACAAGCCAGCCATTTTATCTCTGTTAGCATCAGAACAAAATACAGTACAAAGTCTGACCTTATATGAATTCAGAGTATAAAAATCTAACTTTAATTTTGTTAGTTTTATCTCAAATACACGCTTCTGCTCTCCATCAGTGATCACCATATCATTTTAATCATTTTCTAATTTGTATGTACATTAAAATTAATCTTGTTTCCTTTCACATTAAAAAAAACCACCCACATCTTACCATCTCACTTTGTACATCTCATCATGAACATCTCAATTTTAAAAGCCTTGAAATGTTCAGGGCTGTACTACATTAATGATAGGGTAGGGGCGCATTCTCTAATGCTTAAACTGTGTCCCTTAAATTCTGGGAGCGCATTTGTAAAGGCTAAAACTATCCAAACAGTACTAGTCCGAGATAAATTCCTTTGCTTCCATTATATTGTAAGCAGAAGCTTTGGTGTCTTTGAATAGTGTATAAAAAATGGCATTCTGTAGGTTCTTTTCTTTGATAGTTTACAAAAGAAGAAGTACTCTAAACCGTTAATGCTGCTTACCCCTGGGTGGTGGTATTACACGCCATTTTATTTTTGCATTTCCCCAAAACGCATTATTCCCTTGATAATCAAACATTATTTTAAAATTAATTACCAGACGGTTTATAAAGTGTGGCATCCACACGGTCCAATTCCACAGACCTGCTCAGTAAGAATTTTTCACTTTGAAAAGCTTTAACAGGAGCATGGTTTGATCAGGTGCCTACAGGGTCAAAGACAAAGACAAAACAGCTATCTTTTCCAGGCCCTTCTTTTAGGTTTTGGAGAAATCCAGGAAGTGGGTTTGAATTTAGCTGCAGTGAATCTTGCAGTAGTAAACTTTTTGGGTGGTCAGAGTAACACCTTTCATTGCTACTATTAGCTGAATGGCAAACGACTCGGGCTTAGCAGTGTTTGCAGAGGTATTATTTTGGAACAATTCCGTTTGGAAAGAAACGCAATTGTAAACCGTTTCTATTTCAAGCCCATAAAAAGCAGAACTCGGATGAAAGGCAAAGCCTTGACCTTTCTATTTTAGACTTTCATCTGGGTAGCTAAGCCATCTGCTTTCCCCCACCTCCCACCCCATCTACTTACTTAATGGACTGAAAATACTGCACTTAATTGCAATTTTATCAAACCAGGCTGACTAGTCTACTTTAATGAATTACAGCCGCGTCTTTTCACCTAAAGACTTGGTTGGTAGGGCTTTACTTACCCTCCCTTCCCAATTCCTTCCCATCTCTCTCAATTATGAGCTGTCGAATGTCTGTAAAGTATGGTACTAGGCTTTCGCGTAGGAAAGCCATCTAGAGAGCTTTTCATTTCAACCGTGAGCACCTGACGGAAAATCTAGGGGTCTGGGCTCCTTTGAACACCGGGACGGTATATTAGCTTTGTTGCGGTTACGCAGGAAGGCATCTCACAGTCCATAAAGGAGCGGGCGTCCCCGCCGCCCAACAAGGAACGTAGCCCGGGAAAGGGCAGGCAGACGAAGGTGGGAGGAAACCCCAGGAAGAAGGGCGCTGGGAAGAATGGGGAGCCCAAGACGGGAGGGAAGACCTTCCCAGGAAGGAGCCAGAGCCGGGGAGGGGTGTGCTAAGTGGCCGTGAAGCTGGCCGAGAGAGCCGAGGAAGAGGGGCTGGGAAGCAGGCGCGGAGACCCCGCCCGGGTGCCCCGCGGGGACGCGGGTGGCGGGGACGGGGACCCAGGCCGGCGACCCGGAGACGGCGGCCCACCCGCGGCCGAGCCCCGCTACTTAACTATTTGTAGAGCTGCTGCAGGCACAGGTCCAGGCTCTCGCCCTCCACCTCCTCTCGGGTGATGCGCTCCGACAGCGGCCGCGGGAGCGGGGGCAGCGGCGGCAGCTGGGGCTGCGGCGGCGGCGGCACGGCCGAGTGCCCCGGGGCCGCCGCTTCCTCCTCCTCCTCGCCCTCGGCTGCCGCCTCCTCCTCCACCGCCTCCTCTTCAGGCTCGGGGTCTTGGTCCTGCTCCCCCTCCTCGGCCGCCGCTACTGTCGCAGCGTCCTCCCCCGGTTCCTCCCCCGAAGCCTCGGCCGCCTCAGCCGCGACCAGCTCGGCTTCAGGCTCGGGCTCAGATTCGGGTTCGGGCTCTGGCTCGCCGCCGCCGCACGGTCCGCGGAACTCGCCCAAGAACAGCTCCAGGAAGCGTCGGTAAGTTTTCTCCTCAGGGATGCAGCCCGCCATCGTTGCTCATGCCCCGAGGTCCACCGGAAAGTGGGTGGAGGGTGAGCCCAGGAGGATGAGGGGGCTGCTTCGGAGCCTCGCCTCCCGCGACGGAGGGGGAACGGCCGCACCGGCACCGGCGATCAGCACTGGGTTGCCTGGAGAGGGCTCCCGCAGGCGTGCGCGCCACCGAGCTCTGACGTGCGCGGCCCGGGGGCGGGGGCGGAGCGCGCCACCCCTCTCCGGTCTGGAGGGAAAGTTGGTGGCGGGCGCGCGCACAGGGTCCAGCGGCAGCCCACCGAGAGCTCAGCCCACGCTGCCTAGAGACTGTCGCCATGGCAACCGGTTCTAATTAAGAATTCCAGGGTCCTTCCCGTCGAATCTGTGTAGTAAGGACTCTGAACTCCTGCACTCCAACTTCGAATGGTCCTTACTGAGTGAAGACCCTAATAGTGTGAGTGAACTAATGCATCTCTGTTGGTTCCACTAGGACTGTATTGACTTCATTTTCTTTGCTTGCCTTAGTATATCTGTTCATATGATACCACACAGTAAACATTTTTACTAAGGATACAAATGGAAAAATTAGAGATGGGGCACAAGCACCTAAAAGGATAGTTTTCTTTGCTTAGGTTCTTTCATCTGATTGTAAATATCCCCATTTCACAAAAAAAAAAAAGATGTGGGAAATAAAATAGTAACTTACTCGCTTTAAAGTCCAGACTTTCCAGCAGTGACATTGATATCCAGATCTAAGTCTTGAAGCTTTTAGAATTTCCCCCCTAACTCTGCTCTATGAAAATTTATCTGTGCCTCGTGTCCACACAATGTCTTATTTTTATGGGGCTTTGCAGTTTACACATGTTCATCTCTATAATCCTCACCACAGCCCTAAAGGATATTATCATTATGATTCTGTTTTACAGATAAAGAAACAAGCCTTAAAAACAGTGACTTTGCTCAAGGTCAGAAGCAAGCAATGCAACAAGGACTCAATCCATGGTTGAAATGGTAGATTTCACTTGTAAGTTTTCCATCTCACCAAACTCCCCTCCTTAGCTTCTGAATGATGCACATCATATCGTATCACATGATCTGTGTTGTCTATATTTTGTTTGTTCTTCCCCAACACCTCCTGTCTTTTTTCTTTCTTGGGTTAAAACTGACTTTAAATTATTCTAATTTTCTTACCAAACTATACACAAACCTGTTATTTTCAAGCTTCCTGGTGATGGTGTTGGTGGTGGGTGCTCAGAGGGACTTGTTATACAGCTGTATGGATGAGAACATCATTGCTGCATACTGTCATGTCCATGGCAGCATGTAATTCACCACAAACATAGTGATTTTTTTCTCTGCTCTGAAAAACATGTACTCACAAATTATCCACTTCATCCTTTCCATTTACTGTTTTTGGGTTTCAGATGGATTTAGGATCTGAAATACCATTTCCAGTCAGTTATTAATGGCAGAAGAGGGTGTATTCTCACCAACTGTTTTTCTATAATACTATATTTTTTAATCCCTGACCTGATACTTATTTTAAGATTAAGTGGGTTGGACTTACTAATGGTATCATGTAAAAGAGTTCTATTCTCTCTCCTAGGTAAAGGCTAAATAATACATGATAGAAAGTGTTTAGTAAATAATGCACTTGGAATTTTTGTAAGATAAATGGAAAGACTCAATTAGTCTGTGTAAAGCAACTTCTCTGTAGAATGCCAACAGCCTCCAAACTAATTTCATTTTCACCCTACCCATTCACTGCCATTTCAGAAAAACTAGAAAAGAGCTAGGTGTGTTGGAACAAGCCCTTAATCCCAGCACTCTAGAGGAAGAGGCGGTGGTACACTGAGTTCAAGTCCCACCTGAATCACCTATCAAGTTCCAGATCAGCCAGGGCTATGTAGTGAGGTCTTGTCTAACAATAAATAAATAATAACTAGACTGCAGCAACTTTATTTTATTTTATTTAGGTTTTTTTTTGAGACAGGGTTTCTCTGTATTGTTTTGGAGGCTGTCCTGGAACTCGCTCTGTAGACCAGGCTGACTTCGAACTCACAGAAGAGATCTGCCTGCCTCTGCCTCCCAGGTGCTGGGATTAAAGGCGTGCGCCACCAACGCCCGGCTTGCAGCAACTTTAAATGTCCAATTTTGCATTCCAATGAACTATTACTATCTCCAATTTTAACATGGTGACATTTACTTAGGAGTGCGTAGCTGTCAACGGTAACAATGCATGTCAAGCTACATCTTCCTTCATAATGTAGTTTCCTACTTCATTTAGATGACACTTGTGACATTAATTTATGACTCAACCCACACATCAAAGGGAAATGATGTATGTTGGTAAAACATTACTTTTAAAGAATAAAAGGGAAAGCCCACACCTCTGTTACTGGAAATGAGAGGCGTCTTTGCTTGTATTAATAAAGATACGCCTTTACAAAGATCAATATGGATCCTATTGCATTCTTTTAGCAAAGGAGCTGTCAGCGGTTGCTGACAGCAGTGTAGGATCCCAAAGCAGTTGTGTAGGTGGTTTTGCCATTGTCAAGTCTTTTAATCATTATTTCACATCACTTTGCTTTCCTTTCTCATCACACTTCTCGAGTCCATTTCTATTTACTTTTTGCTTAATAGAAAATATAGTGACACATTCTTAGAGTCTCAGAGTTGTCTCCTAAATTCAATTGGTTTTTCTCAGACCACCTGATTTCTTCCTGGCTCTTAACATAGTTTGTACTTTATTTTCATCTTTGTATTTATCTCATTAGGTGCATTGTCTCTAGAAAATAAGACTACATTTTACTGCCACTGTATTTAAAAACAAATGTAGTTATCTGTACTTAATATGATTTTAGTTTTTGCTGAAATATAAATTTTTCATTCAAAAATATATGAAAAGCATAATGTTTATAAAAAGCAAAGCAAATTCTTTTGAGATACTTTTCTTACAAAAATATGCAGTGTCCTTTTATGAATTTTCATAGCAATGTTTTAGGGTAAAAATGTTGAATTTAGTAGCTTCTTGTATAGCTCAAACATTTTCTCAGTTATTTACCCAAGAGAAATAACTTGCCATATACACAAACACATACATGAAAACCTGTATGTAAATGTTCAGTTGTATTTATAACATCTCAGACATTGAAGCAATAACAAATCCATGAACATGTAAGATGGATAACTGTAGTATATTCACACAACAGAATACTACTTGTCAATAAAAACAAATGAACTAAGTATGGTACATGCCTAGAATCTCAGTACCCAGAATACAACAAGACTAAGAGTTGAATTAGATGTGGTGGTGCACACCTTCAATCCCAGCTCTAGAAAGGCAGAGGCAGTTGGATCTCAGTGAGTTCAAGGCCAGCCTGGTCTACATATCAAGTTCTAGAACAGCTAGGGATACATAGTGAGACCATCTCAGAAAAAAATAGGCAAGGGGGATTGAAGTCAAGCCTCAGTTCATAGTGAATTAAAGGCCAGCCTATCTTTGTGAGATCTTCATAGTCAACACAAATAACAACAACAAAAACCATACATGTTGAGAGGGCTGGAGTGATGGTCCAGCATTTAAGAGTACTTGCTTCTTTTGTAGAGAGCCTCCACATGGAGGCTTAAAACTGCCTGGGTAACTCCAGTTCTAAGGGACAATGCCTCTTTGGTACATATACATATATGCAGGCAAACACATATACATACAATAAAAATAAAAACATACTGAAAATAAAAATTGCACAAAAGAGGGGCTGGAGAAATGGTTCAGTTGTTGAGAGGACTTATTACTCTTGCAGAAGACACAAGTTTGATTCCGGGCACCTACATGGAAGCTCATATCCTCCCATTAACTCCAGTTCCAAAGAATTCAATGCCCTCTTCCGGCCTCTGCAAGTATGAGACATGGCATATTGTATGCATACATACCAGCAGGCAAAACACTGATCACATAAAATAAAAATATTTTCAGTTGCACAAATGAATACATATTATTTTATTCATATGTTTTTTTGTTTGTTTGTTTGGGTTTTTGAGACAGGGTTTCTCTTTGTAGCCCTGGCTATCCTGGAACTAGCTCTCTAGACCAGACTGGCCTTGAACTCAGAAATGAACCTGCCTCTGCTTCCCAAGTCCTGGGATTAAAGACATATACCACCACCTGACCCATATGGTATTCTAAAAAATAGGCAAGACTAAACCAGAGGTGGTGTACATGGTAGTACATGTTTGTAATACCAGCATGCAGGAGGCTGAGACAGGAGGATTGCAAGTTTAAGGTCAGTCTAGGCTACATAATCAGAACATCTCAATAAAAACAAGTGACCAACGAAAAAGGCTAAACTAACCAAATGTGAGAAATCAGGAAAGGAGCTAGAATTAATACTGTAAATTCACTAAACATGTTCTCTCACTGAGTGTGGTGGTACATGTCTTTAATCTCAGCACTCATGTGACAAAGGCAGATACATCTCTGTTAGTTCAAAGTCAATCTGGTCTGCCATAGTGAGTTCCAGCACAGTCACAGCTACAGTCTTAAAAAAAAAAAAAAAAAAAGACAACAATATTATCTAGTTTAACTGGGGGATTATATGAATTATGAAATTATCAAAGTATATATTAATGATAATAGGGATGTAGCTCAGTGGTAGAGCACTTGCCCAGCATACAAAAGGCTTAAAAATATACATTGAAAATGAGTATACTGTACATGAATGAAACCTCAATAAAGTTGATTTTTAAAAAGAACTGACTTGTGTTTAACCTTGTCCATTTTGCTACCATGCCCATTCTTTCCTTCCTTGTTCCATCCACTCCATACTGCTGCAGAGCTGACCGGCTTAGACTTCGGTCACTGGGCTTCAGTGACAGTTGTCTTTCAGTTGTCATTTGCCCAGTGGGAGGCACTGACAAGAAACTGTAAGTTAGGAGAGCAAATCAGCTGGAGCATTTCTCTTCTCCCTTGTCTCAGTGCTGAGTCTGTTTCATCTCCTTGGTGACTTTGCTCCCCTTGTTTGTTCACTGGACTTCAGGCTGGACAGGGATCCAAGTCATCTTCCGTTCTCCTTCAGCCTACGGATAGTGGCAGCTTCCAGATTCCTAACCTTTTAGAATCAGAAAAAAGTTGTTCAGTTTTGTTTATCACTGTATAAATAATTTTCTGCATTTGTTTTAACTAAGAGGATACAATAACAAAAATTTAAACTATGAAAGGATTATATGGAATAGAATTTAAAGTGGATTAAGCTGAAATTACAGCAAATTTTAGGTCTAGAAGATTCTACTTGAAACAAAGTTAACAGTGGATTTCTTTTCTTTTTTTTTCTTTTTTTTTGAGGCAGGGTTTCTCGTATTGTTTTGGAGGCTGTCCTGGAACTCACTCTGTAGACCAGGCTGAGATCACACTCACAGAGATCCGCCTGCTTTTGCCTCCCAAGTGCTGGGAGTAAAGGCATGTGCCACTACTCCCTTGCCAAGGCATGTAATTTTTAAAAATCTGTAACTCCTTAATTTATCTCCAGTTGATATTTTCTTAAGTTATGGAAGTCTAGAATATATACTCTATCTTTTCTAAAATATGTCTATCTTGTCTGTTTATTTATTTATTTATTTTGGTTTTTCGAGACAGGGTTTCTCTGTGGCTTTGGAGGCTGTCCTGGAACTCACTTGGTAGTCCAGGCTGGTCTCGAACTCACAGAGATCCGCCTGCCTCTGCCTCCTGAGTGCTGAGATTAAAGGCGTGCGCCACCAACGCCCAGCCTATCTTGTCTGTTTATAAGAGAAATAGAAACACTGTTTTTAAAAACCTCTATTGTTAAATTCCTAAAGTCAATGATTTAAGCTAATATCATGTCTCAAATAATAAAATATGCCTTATGTTTCAAAGTAGTTTTGTATTTTTAAGGACCCAGCATAATAAGATATATTTAATCACATCCAGTGGCCTACAAGTCAATGCTTATGCAAATGCTAGGCCTAATGATGAATTTTAAGTTAAACAAGCAGGCAGATTTCTTCAGGACTACACAGGTTCTGTCTCAAAAAACAAAAATATCTGTTGCTTTTTACTATTTTAAAAACTGAATTCTGGGCGGAGGGATGACCCAGAGAACTAGATAGAGCATTTGCTCCTCCAGGGAACCTGAGTTTAGTTCCCAGCACCAACTTCAGGCTGGTCACAATCTCCTGTACAGCAGCTTCAGGGGATCTGATGCCCTCTGCTGGTCTCTGAGGGCACCCACATGTGGCATACATACATATAAACTTTTTAAAATCTCTTAAAAGGTCATGAATACTGGCACATGTCTTTCATCCCAGCATTCAGGAAGCAGAGACAGGAGGATCTCTGTGAGTTCAAGGCCAACCTGGACTACAGATTGAGTTCCAGGATAGCCAGAGCTCTGTAGAGAGACCCTGTCAGTAAATAAACTAACAGGTAAATAAATAAAATCCTTTAAAAAATGAATTCACAAAGTGAATATGAACTATGAGAGAAAATATAAAGCTGTTTTTCTAGTTTTAATTCTGTCAAGACTTTTTGATTTTGGTGGTAGATAAGTACATAAAAATGCATTCTACAGAGCTAGGCGGTAGTGGGCGTACACCTTTAATCCCAGCACTTGGGAAGCAAAGGCAGATGTATCTCCAAGTTTTAGGCCAGCCTGGTCAACAGAGTAAATTCGACTGAATTGCAGGGTAGCTAGGGCTACACAGAGAAACTCTGCCTTAAAAAACCAAAAGAATAAAAAGTTTTTAAAATCCTATAGTGTAAACATAAAATCCAGTTTCCATAATGGCTACCCTAACTGTGTAGAGAAGTCCATTGAGTTGTATAGGTTAAGGGTCTGGTTAATTTTAGTGTATGAAGGGTTTTGTTGTTTGGGGTTTTGGTTTTAGAGACAGGGTTTCTCTGTGTAGCCCTGGCTGTCCAGCTGTAGATCAGCCTGGTCTCAAACTCAAGATACCCACCTACATCTGCTTCCCAAGTGCTGGGATTAAAGGTATGGGCCACTGTCTACTGAAGTTTTTTTTTTTTTTGCAATTTTTTATATAATAAAGTTTAAAAACTTAACAGAAGGGTAGTATGTAAAAAGCTCAGCAGTTAAGACCAATTGCTGCCTCTTGCAGAGGACTTGAGTTTGAGTTCCTGCCCCATGTCAAGAGGCTCACCAGCACCTGTAACATCAACCAGGGAAGTGGATGCCTTCTCCTGACCTCCATAAGCATCTGTGCGTGCGCACACACACACATTTTCTCTCTCTCTCTCTGAAAGAGTGACACTTGCCCTTAACCACTAACCCTCCCAGCCCCCATATACATAATTCAAAAATCTTTAAATCTTTTAAATTAATTTAATTAAAACTTTCTAGAGGGAGGTGTCTTGAGAAGGCAGGGTCTCGCTAATGTAGCTCTGGCTATCCTGGAACTCACTATATAGACCAGGCTGGCCTCAAACTCAGAGAGATCCACCTGCCTCTCCAAGTGCTGAGACTAAAGGGGTGCTCCACTAAGCCTGGCCAACTAAAACTTTTTAATCTTAAAAAAAAATGTTGTCATCAAATCACATCATACCACCGAATATCTGGCAACAGAGTACAACAGAAATTACTTCAAGGCTGGAGAGATGGCTCAGCAGAAAAGAGCACTGGCTGCTCTTCCAGAGGACATGGATTCAATTCCCAGCACTCACATAACAGCTCACAACTGTAACTCCAGTTCCAGGGGATCCAGCATCCTCACACAGACATAAATGCAGGCAAAAAACCAGTGCACATAAAATAAAAATAAATTATCAAAAGTTTTTTCAAATAGGAGCTTCAATCAATAGCTATATATTTTAAAAATCATCCCCAGTTGATGCAAAAAAAAAAAAGCAAACATCATTCCTATAATAATTTTTAATTCCTTTCCTCTTCTAGGCTATATAGTCATTTGTGGGAATATGCCAAAACTATCAAAATTAAAATTCACTCCAAGTAGTAACAAGCCATATTGAACTACATTTTACTATTTTTAAAGGCTAATAAGTACCCAAACAGTTTCTAGTCTTTTTTTAAAAGTTTTACCTGTAGACAACCAACTTTCTTTTTATCTAGCCACCAAAATATGGACTAGGACATTCTTGCAGGAGAAGAGGGTGATGGTGATTTGATGCTATAAATGTTGGCATATAGCATGTTCTTTCTTGAATGACTCTTCTAAAGTGAACAAGTAAAAAATCCACACCAATATTTTCTGACTAATTTTCATTATACAAATCAGAAAATACTTCTTGGTAATAAAATTTTACCTTTATTATCATCTAACTTTTAATTACTTTTAAATATTCACTTAGAATGAATACATGTAAAAATTCATGATACTGAACATGTCCTAGTTAGGTCATCAGATGCCCATCACTCTGCAGCATTCATCAAAACTAGAACAAAGCAAACAAAAAACCCAACAGCGGCAGCTTTTTCAATGAAAATCGAACAGGCAACTAAATCCAAAAATTCCTAACCAAGGTGCTATATATATATATATATATTTAGTATTGCTAAATAATTTCTTCTTAGTTGATGGAATTGAGCCACAGTAACATTTGTGACTAGAAGGGAAGATGAAATGACTCCATTAACCTCGAGTGCTGTAGCATATGGCAGTCATAGGTGGTAGAATGGCTGTGTCCAACAAGAGTAGAAACAAGCCATGTGGCACAGACGTTATCAATTACCACACATGGTGACCATGCTGACACAATGCATCTTTTCCAGAAAGGAAATAACTTGGGCATATGAAGTCGTTTGCTGCCTTGTGAAAGAGTAATCTATAAATGACATATCTGGCACCAAGACAGCACACACAGGTTTCAGTAATTAAAATAAGAAGATTTGAACCTTTACTACATACCTAAACAACAATGCACCATATTGCAGTTATTTTCAAAAGCAGCAATCAAAGTACATATGCGAAATAAGCATGAGTCTTTCAAACATAAAATGATTTCCAAATCCTGGCGTGGTGGCACTTGCCTGTAATCTAGCACTTAGAGGCAGAGATGGGAAAATTCCAGGCTAACTTGAGTTACACACAATACCCTGTCTCAAAACAAAACACAACACCCACTGGCTGAAGAGATAGCTTAGTGTAAGAACACTGGTTGTTCAATTCCCAGCATTCACGTGGTGGCTCACTATCTTCTCCAACTCCACTCCTACAGGACCCAATGGCACAGATATACATGTGGTACAGAGACATGCAGGCAAAACACCCACACACAGCTCTAATTACTTTTCAAATATCTTCAAATCACCACATGAAATACTGAATTCTTGTATCACTTAAAGTATACCAATAATTTCAACTCTTTAGGTATAGAACCTGTGGGGAAAGCTCAAAATTAGATCTAAGGAAAAAAACTTGTAATTATTTCTTTTTGTTTATCTTGAAATATATTTTATTTGTAAAAACAGCTTGTTAAAATTAACATCATCTAAAGTAATTTTTAGGTGTTTGTTTTCTTTAAAAAAAATTTTTACATCCCAACCAAAGCTTCCCCTCCCCCACAGTAATTATTTCTTTTAAGTACTGACAAAACAAAACTGCAATGCAAGGAAACATGGTATGCACTGTGCTTTAAGAAAATCTACTGGGTTTGGACTCCATGGAACTGGGAGACAGAGGCAGGCCTTCTCTGTGAGTTCCCAAGCCTGGTCCATAAAGTGAGACCCTGTCTCAAAAGAAAAAAAATCTAAGACAAACTTCATGTAGAACAGCCCGACCTCCACTGCTGTGTAGCAGAGAATAACCTTGAGCTTCTGATCCTCCTGCCTCCATGCCTGGTTTGCATCTTGATAAAGAGGAGTTATGTCCATCCCTAAGAAAATGTGATGATATACATTCCTTCAGATGGGTGTTGCATGAACTAAGAGAGACTGAAGGCTTGGGATTAGTTAGCAATAGGAAATAATCAGTACAGGAAAGAACAGTATCAATGGGAATAAAGAGAAACAAATTAAAAAACACAAAACAAGAAGACTCAAAATTCTTTACAAAAAAAAAGGTACAGGAAGACACAATTTGGGAAGATCTAGCAGTCTTCCCAGAAAGGCTCACAGGAAAC